AATGGCCGTTTTAAATAATGCTCAAAATGACACAAAAATAGCGTTTATAATTATTTGCTTCCTGACCTCATAAATAACTAAAAAAGGTTCACGAAACCCTCTGTCATGGGTCCTTACCTATAACTACAGAATGAACTCTTCCTAACACTATGTATACTACGCCTCTCAAGAGAGAGGGACAAATCGAGTCGAGCTGATAGTAGTTCACTCCAAACCAGACTGACAGTCATACTAACACCTTCCACATCTTGTATTATTATTTCGTGTAATATACCTTTGTTATTTCTACTCTTGTGTTCGTGTTGTTCTTTCTTGGTCCTAACCTGGACTATAACATCCTCAAAAGGAGAGACACAGAATTTAAAATCATGCGATGATATCATACAATGGTCAATGATATCTATATCTATATACAATATATAAAATATGATATCATATCAATGATATCATACAATGATATACAATGATCAATGATATCATACAATATCATATAAAATACGATATCATATCAATGATATCATACAATGATATACAATGGTCAATATCATAAAATATCATATAAAATATGATATCATATCAATGATATCATACAGTGATATACAATATCATATAAAATATGATATTATATCAATGATACCATACAATGATATCATATAAAATATGATATCATTGCCATTTTTATTTTCTTCCAAACTAATGTTTTGTTTATATATCATATAAAATATGATATCATATTAATGTTATCATACAGTGATATACAATGTTCACTGATATACAATATCATATAAAATATGATATCATATCAACGATATCATACAATGATATACAATGGTCAATGATATCATACAATATCATGTAAAATATATCATAATGATATCATACAATGATATACAATGGTCAATGATATCATACAATATCATGTAAAATATATCATAATGATATCATACAATGATATACAATGGTCAATGATATCATACAATATCATGTAAAATATATCATAATGATATCATACAATGATATACAATGGTCAATGATATCATACAATATCATGTAAAATATATCATATCAATGATATCATACAATGATATACAATGATATACGCGTCAAAGGAAAGGAACACAGCGAAAAAATATTCAAACTATCCAACATAAAAACGGCCATTTTTATTTTCTTCCAAACTAATGTTTTGTTTATATGTTTTTGTTATTTTGCTTTGTTCTTTTTCAAACTTCTGTGTTTTGGTTTGTTTGTGTGTGAATTACTGTCATGAATTCTGTAGATGTACAAAATGCAGTCTAAAAGTTTTCAAACTTCTTTATTTCACACCATCTTCATACTTACACAACCACATGATTAACAATAGTGTCCAAATTCTAGCCACTGTCGGAAGCACGTCTTCGAACCAATTTCCGCAGTGCCTATTTTCTTTAGAAGTCTTGGAATCTTTTGACCAAACTTTCACTATTCCTGTAAGAGGATAGATATACATGTCCATATCTGAGCGTATCTATTTGTGTAACATAAAATTAAAGAACATCAATAACAAAGGTTCAAGTCTTTGTAGACCTTAGAATTTTTAAATTCTTTTTTTTTTTTTTTTTTTTTTTTTTTTTTTTTTTATTGATAACGTGAGTTGAAAGTAGAATACGCCCTTTCCTGAAGGCCGGGTGACTGGGAATTAGTGTCGGTAAAAAGCGGCCGGCGAATCGGTGTTCCAGTCATTGTGGTTTCGATCACTATAGACATATTCCGGTCATCTTTGCAGCCACAAAGCAAATTCTTGAGTGTTCGACGAAAATCACCGCTAAAGAAAGAATAGAGAAAAAAGTTGCTGGCGGCGTTCAATTGGACAAGAAGATTTGTAATATTCCCCAGGATTTTCAGCGTGTACAAATTCATCTGCGCCATGGATGGAAAAAAAAGAAAAAGAAGACAGAGAAAAGAAAGCAGTTGAAAACAATGCAAGGCATGACAAAAACATTAATTAATAATAGCATCAGAAAAAAATAAAAAAAAAGTTTCATGATTTTCATTTTAATTAATATCATCAAATAAAGACACCTCATCGTTACCATCATCATCATCATCATCATCATTGACAGCAGTGCAAAACAAAGATTCTTTATCATCATCATACTTATCTGCAAGTGGATCATGATCATCATGATCATCATCAAATAAATACGTTGTCATTATCGTTATTAGTAAATGCAGAACAATCATCATCTTCATCATCATCATATGACAAATATTCTTTTTTCCGGTTCATCATCATCATTATAAAAAATAAACATTTTATCACAATCATCATCGTTATAAAACAAATATTCTTTTCATCATCATCATCATCATCATCATCATCATCATCATCAGCAGCAGCAGCAGCAGCAGCAAATAAAAACATTTTACCATCATCAACGTTATATAACACATAGTTTCTTCATCATCATCATCATCATCATCATCATCATCATCATCATCATCGTTATCATCAAATAAAGACCTTTTATCATCATTATCGTTATATAACAAACATTTTTTTATCATCATCATCATCAGCATCGTTATGAGCAAATAAGAATCATCGTTATCTAACACATAAAGATTCTTTATCATCATCATCATCATCATCATCATCATCAAATCAAGGCTTTTATCATTATTATCATCATTATTATATAAAAAATCATCATTATCACCAAATACGTTTTATCATCATCATCGTTATATAACAAATAGATTCTTTATCACCATTAACGTTATCGCCAAATAAAGACATCTATCATCATCATCATCATCATCTTTATATAACAAATAAAGATTATTTTCACCATCATTATCGTTATAATAAAATAAAGAGACTTTATCATAATCATGAGTATCCTAACAAATCATCATCATCATCGTCATCATCGTTGTCGGCCTCAATGACAACACAAATGTATCCATTATTTACTTTTTTTTAGAGAAAATGAGAACTAATCTTTTATAAAAATGCATATTACGACATTTGGAAAACTATTTCGCATTTTAGGAGATAGAATAACGAGTCAAAATTAATAAGAAATAAAATCGTTGCAGAGAACCAAATTTTATTTCTCAAGAACATACGTATTATTATTATTATTATTATTATTATTATTATTATTATTATTATTATTAACAATGACAAAAATCCACCATAGAACAAATTATTTTATTCCTTGGGCAGAAAATTTGGGATTCCAGACGAAAAAGAAAAATCATTCAGTGGCCTGATGAAAGCTTAAGGTGCTAAGCCAGCTAAGTTAAGAGACAACAATAAAATATCTTAAATTAATTATTTGAAATCCTTTGAATTTATTGTACGTAGACATGATCCAGTAATCTGAAGGTTGGAATAAACTTTCTATTGCTTAGATTTTCTTACCTTATTCTAAGAGATCCAAAAAGATCAAACTTACCCTATTCCACCAAGACAAAATAAAATTAAAGCTTTTTCTTAGATGCTGACGTAGTTTTTTTAAATCCCACATCTCAGGTACTTTCATTAATCATTATGCTTCCTTTGGCTTTGTTTTAGAATAAACAAACCTTTTGTAAAAAAAATATGGACACGACGTCTGTCCTCATGCTGCAAACTTGTAACTTTCAACTATCACTTGTTTCGATTTACGTAAAACCTCTTGTCTGGTCAGTAGTTTAAGAAATTAAAAGATATCGAAAATCGTTCGAAGAATTAAACGAATGAAAAAAGAGAATTGTTCTTTGCAATGGGATACACAAAAAGGTGAAAGGTGGCCTAACTTCGCAAAAAGTTGATTCGAAGAAGTGTTAAGATTGTAGTGTTTGGGGAAGCATATTTCCGGGAGTTTGTTCCGTAAACCAGCGGCCCATGGGAAAAAGGCTGCGCCCACCCCAGTTGAACTTCCTTGTCCCTCCAGCTCTTACGGTCTTGGCAGAGCGTCGGAACATCCTCTAGCGCCAGAATAATCTGCTGGACGTCCTGGCGGACGACGTCCTTCCAGCGGTTGCGTGGTCTGCTGCGGGTCTTCGCCAGTTTACAGATGGCGTGTCGAACTGATAGATGACACTAGTAGGGTGGTCATCCATATGTGACTGAGCCAGCAAACACGGCATCTGGCGATGATGCTGAGATACTCGGTTGACCAGTCCTTTGACAGAGCTCCTGATTGGATACAAGATCGGACAAGTGTACTCCCTCGACTCGAAGCCCTGGAGGCGAGGGCTTTGCTGAGAGGCCATGCCTCAACGCCGTATAGTAGCACAGAAGGGACGGTCGTCTTGGAAACTTTTGCGTCTAATGTACACGAATGACGTATAGAACTCGAATGGGTCACTGCCAATGATGATGGTGAATCAGTGAATTTTGGACTGAATTTTTTAAAATAAGAATTTTATGTTTCACTAAGAATGCTTTTGAAAATATTTTGTTTCTGAATTTTCCTTTAATAATGGAATATTTATGTGAAAACCATTTTTTTAAAAATTGCCAAATTTTACCACCAGTTGGCATATCTGTTTCTATCATTTGGCTAAGCCGTTTTATCTTTTCAAATAGTTGTAATGTATGTATTGAATTTTATTTTAATTAATGCATATGTAACTCTGAATAAAGACAAAAGGAAAACTTAGCCGAACGTTTCGTCCTGTGTAGAATTTTATAAAGGTTTAACTTAGTATAAGTTCAACTATTCACTATCAGTATAAAAAGAATGGGGAATTATTTACGACTAACCTTGTTGATTTTACAAACTTTATGAAGTTCGATAGAGGAGGAAACGCGTCGGCTAAGATAAGTTTCCCTTTTGTTTTTATTTATATTGTCTTTTTACAGATATATTCTATCTGAAATTTTTTTTTGCACATATTTACCTATATATATTATTTAATTATTATAATTCTTGTTTTATTATTCTTTCTTCTTGACTAATTCAAGGGATTTTTTTTTATCTAACTGGTATCTTTGTGCTGATTAAAGACTCTTTAAAGTTTGGGTTTCAACATTTTAAGAAAGCGAGGCGGCAGAGAGAGAAAAAAAAGGGAAGAGAGAAGGAGAGAAGAGAGAGAGAGAGGGAGAGAGAGAGGAGGGAGGGAGAGAGAGGAGGGAGAAAGAGGGAGAGAGAAAGAGGGAGACAGAGGGAGAGAGAGGGAGAGAGAGAGGGAGAAAAAGAGAGAGAGAAAGATAGAGGATTAGCGGAAGAAAGGGAGGGTGAGAGGGAGAGAAAGAAAGAGGGAGAGAGAGTGGAAGGGAAAATAAGAGAGAGTGAAAGACTGAAAGAGAGAGGGAGAGTGGAAGAGTGAGTAAGAGAGAGAGAGAGAGAGAGAGAGAGAGAGAGGAAAATTAAGACCCCCCCTAATTTGATCCGAATATCTGTTTTCTCTTCTTTCCTCTTTACTCACTGGTAGGAGATGAAGTTGGGGGTGATAATATTCCAAAGACATTATCCATCGAAGAAGAGGCAGTCCATAACCTTCGGACAGGCCGATTTCGCAAGCAATTCGACTGTGAAAATGCCAGCTAGCTGATTCCTTAACGAATCAACTACACACATTTTCTCTTTTCGAATAGATAAACTCACTGTATTGAATTTTATTTCAAGTCATGCATATGCATCTATATATACAGTGTAACCCGGATATAAGAGACCCGGATATAAGAGAAACCCGGATATAAGAGAGATTTTCTCTGGTCCCAAATTAGAGCCTGTGTTAATGTATATAAAATAGACCAAACCCGGATATAAGAGAAACCCGGATATAAGAGACTTCCCTTATATCCGGGTTACACTGTACTACCGTATTTGCTGGTCTATCGGAAGCACACACGCATTGGACGCACCCAGATTTTGGCATGGAATATTTACGAAAAAAAAAATGCACACATCACCACCACCACCAAAAAAAAAAAAATAACCTTACCTTTATGTGACATGCTTACTAACCATGAAGAAACACTTACAGTATTAGTACAGATTTTACTAATGGTATTTTTTTTTAATAGAAATTAGGTAAAGTTTAATGAGCGGGACATTTTTCGGAATAGAAACATTTTAGTACATTTCGTCAAGCCTTTATTGAAAATTGTTTTAGCTGTTTATCAGGGAGCAACATCTGCACATACAGTAAATTCATAAGAGCTACAAAGAAATCTACTGGTATCAGTGAACACTGCTACATATGGTAATAGGCAAAAAAAAATATATATATATATATATACAGAAAAACAAATTCCAACATCTGTATATCAACAAAACACACATACAAAGCAAGCTGCAATATATCAGTCAAAGCACATATTTCTGTCAATTTTGGTATTTCTAAAATACAATCGACTAAATATTGTACAGTTCCATAAATTTCTTTAATTTCTTTATCCCGGGTGAATTTTTCAGAGATCTTTTTATTGATATCATGTTTCTTGATTTCCAGGATTCCTAGTTTCAGAGCTAAGCTTCTATGCTTGCATTGATTCCTGGTGAACTCCAATTTTTTTCGCGGCCTTCATATTCTTCTCGTACATGATACGGCTGTATTGGACAATGGGTAATTTTCTGGTGTGCATTCTTTTGTAAATCATCCTCGTTCAATAGCCCGGCAAATACGATAATTGTATATACCTGCTAATTGGGGACTATTTCTCACAACATTCGATGTCTAGACCGGTAGATATTAATTTATCTGTTACCGAAAGTTTACTCAAACACGTTTACCATTAAATATATCATTGTAATGATATATTTACACACAAATATTGTGCAATTCTATAAATTTCTTGGGTCAATTTTTCAGAGATATTTTTTTATTGATATCGTATTTGTTTATTCACAGGAGTTCTAGTTTCAGAGGTAAACTCTATGCAGGCACTGATTCCTTTTTTTTCGCGGTCTTCATGTCCCTCTCATACATAATACCGTTGTATTGGACGCAGGGTAAGTTTTTGGGATATTTTTTCTGGAAAATAATCCGCGTCCAATGGGCCGGCAAATACGGTAATTGCTTATTATAATTCTTTTTAAATTTATTCCTGCTTATCGACCAGCTGTATTTTACGGAATTTAATACCTAACTGGTCTTTGTGCTGATAGAGGAGTCTTTAAAGTTTGGGTGTCTTGTAAAAAAAGAGTCGGAAGTAATACTCCACTCCTTTTTATTCTGATAGGGTATATTTGAACTTATACTAAGTTAACGCTCTATAGTTAATATCATTAACCCAATTATTTTTCTCCTAGAATTGTTGCGAATCAAAATTAGAGAGCTCAGTCTGTCTTGTTATTAGCCCTTTAAGCCGTGCGTTCCTGAACAATTTTAACCCCTTGTGCCGTGTGTTCCTGAAGAATTTTAACCCTTTGAGCCGTGCGTTTCGGAACTATTCTAACGCTTTGAGCCTTGCGTTCCTGAACAATTTTAACCCGTTGAGCCGAGCGTTTCTGAACAATTTTAACCTGTTGAGCTGAGCGTTCCTGAACAATTTTAACCCGTTGAGCCGAGCGTTCCTAAATAATTTTATCCCTTCTGCCTGAGCTCCTGAGTCAAAATTCGCAAATAATTGGTATGTAATGTTTCACGCTAGATATAAAAATAGTTACAACTGTTTACCTACCGTCATTTTTCTCTACCACTGTTCAACTGAATGCTGGGCATTACGTCATTTTTCTCTACCACTGTTCAACTGAATGCTGGGCATTACGTCATTTTTCTCTACCACTTTTCAACCAGTGGCTAGGCATTACGCCATTTTTCTCTACCACCGGTAAAGCGGTGGTCAGGGCTCAAAGGGTTAAGATAACACAGGTTATGCCCGAGTTTTATTTTGTTTTATTTTTAGTGTATCGATTAGAATTCCATCCTCAATAAAAAGCGTCGTCTTTTTTTTTGTGCCAGAACTATCGGTGAATATTTGTAGAAATTTTTCTTGTATGTTGGTTAAGCTTGAGGTCTCAGTAGAATTTGTGAAACCATTTTGAATATTTCGATGACCATTTGTGCAGCATTGATGTGACTTGGAATCTAATCATCGGAGGCCTTACAGCGCATACGTCAACAGACATTTTCCCGTATGGTTACTTCGTTTACATTCAGATGACATTGAGTGAAAATGTGTACTGTGTGGCCACTGCGTTCACAATAACTGAGCCTGAAAATGTGGTAAAAACAAAAGACACAGGCATCTGAACAATTTTTGTAAAGATAATGACTTTTCTCGAAATTACACAAGGTTATTTTACGTTTTAAATCTTATTCAAGTGTAATCTTCCAGTCATATGCAAACTCAGACTAAAACCCCGGAAAAACGCAAAGCAATGTCTAAAGTACATTATAGCTGACTCAAACTTGCAAAGAAATGTATACTGAGAGAGTTAAAATATATACAATATCTTGGATGAAATTAAAAGTGGAACATTTTAAGAAAACACTAGGGATATCGGCGTACGAGTTTATTCTAATGAAAGCAGGGCAAGAAAAAAAAAAGAAGTGGATTACAGATGAAAGTCTCGATATGATAAAAAAAGAGCAGCAATCGATGCCGTCGAATGGTACAAAATATAAAACATTAAACGCAAACATTAGAAACAAATGCATAAGAACAAACGGTTGAACGGAAAGTGTTCAGAGACAGACAGAATAAACATCAGAAATTCGTTAGGTATTCAAATAATAAAAATAAAAGAAACAACAGGACAAAAGATGACAGGTTTACTAAAAAGGACATTAAGGACACATGGCACACTGGATAAAGACGTTGATTAGATTCAGTGACAGGACACAAAGAGTTGTGAGTTCAATACCTGGATAAGGCGGTGGAGAACTCGGAGAGGTGAATTAACAGGAGATAACTGATAACTGACATCCATTAGACATGGCACGTGGAACTAGAACAGTCTACCCCAGCGAGCAAAATAAAGGTATCAGTTCGTCATTCCAACCATCTGAAGAAAGCCGGAGCATAGAACTGCCGAAACGTTGTGATAAATATGGCAACAAAGATGAAGACAATAATCCGAATAATGTAAATAGTGTACATAATACCTCATCTCAGAAATATAGACAAATACTGAAAGGACGAAACGTTGTGATAAATATGGCAACAAAGATGAGGACAATAGTCAGAATAATGTAAATAGTGTACATAATACCTCATTTCAGAAATATAGACAGATACTGAAAGGCCGTAACGTTGTAATAAATATGGCAACAAAGATGAGGACAATAGTCCGAATAATGTAAATAGTGTACATTATACCTCATCTCAGAAATAAAGACAGATACTGAGGAAAATAGCAAAGGGAAAAAATATTCAAAGATGGAACGAATATTTAAATATCCGAGAAATGTTTTAGTAGATGGTGTAAAATGTGACACCGAAATCCGAAGCTACATTAGAAAAGTGAAAGCTGCACTTGAAAAGCTAAACAGATTAGTAAGGAAGAGGAACATTTCATTATAAAGACAAGAGTGTTGAACTGCTATGTCATATATATATATATATATATATATATATATATATATATATATATTAATGCTGGGCAATTTCTTCACAAATGAAGAAGTGACAAGGTAATGGATGCTGGCCTACAGAAGGATGCCGAGAATATCATGGACGGATCACGTGAGAAGCGAGTAATTTTTATGGGAAATCGGGGCAAAAAGTACATTTATACTGAGAATCGGATAGAGACAGTTGAAATTTCTAGGACGCATCTAGGGTACTTGGAAAATTTGAGACTCACAGGACAAATTGAAGATCAGGAGAGCAGAGGAAAGAGCGAGTTCTCTACGAAGTTTGTGCAAATAAAGGACAGAACATAAAGCAGAAGGGTAGTAAGTGTTAAAAAGGATAGAAAGTTAGGGAGAGCCATGATCACGCACATTATGAAGGGACACGACGCATGAAATAACACCTTCTATATGGTCCGTGCGTCTAGTTAATTCTAGATTCGGTTTGACAATATTGAGGTAAGGGAAAAAATCAGTCGGGTTTCGATTCTGGCTTGAGGCAATCGGATATCTAGCCACACTGATGATCTGTGTTATCAGCATTTGCATTTTCCTGAAATATCTCTTCGTGAAATAAGAGTACACGTCAACTTATACTATGTTTCTGCATCATAGATTGGTTTAGACAGGCTGTAAAAAAATGAAATTCCCGGCATATTTTTAAGAAAGTCTATATCATAAACGAGAAAGAAAAGCGTAAAGAAAGGCAAATTGATATTGCAGAAGCAATCCCAGTCGTCGAAGAGAAACCAGAATGCAAACGTCTAAATCAAATAAATACAAAGCACTTAAGTCATATCGACTTTGTTCTGCAAAGTGCAGGCTTTTCGGCCTATTCGCTTGACGCCGTAAGCATTA